AAAGAAAGAAAAAATGCAGCAGCTTTTGCTTGCTGTGTTTTTGAAAGGAGGAACTTTTAAATAACTTGGTAACTTCAGCAATTTCATACCATGAGTTTCTAACAAACTTTCAGTTTCAAAATACATCAGAAATGGTCTACATTCACGCTAAACTCTGACCCAAACAAATCAGGAAACAAGTCGCAAACTTCTGCATTTTCTAATTACAACATTGCCGCAGCTTTATCAAGAAAAGCAGAAAATTTTACAGCCCAAGATTCACTATGTTCACCATGAATGCACACCTAGACAAACAAACAAGGGATTTCGGGGATAGAGAGGGGCCAAAACATGCATTTTCCAGACATGACAAAGAAAACACCAAACTCCAGCTAATGCGTCAAAATGCAGCGATGGGCAAGAAGCAAATGACATGTTGCGGCAAGCTTTCAAACACAAACATAACCACACTATGATTCAAACAAACCACATAGGCTTATCAGGGAGAAATCTGTAGAAAGACTCCTACAATACCTCATCAGAATTAGATGCTGAACACATAAACGAAACAAAAAAACTGAGTTGCAGAAAGGCTAAATAAAACCCAAATTCGTTCATGAAGATCCTGCATAATTTCTAATCTCCTCTTTGCAATCCACCATTCGTACGTTAAAACCCCAAACAAAGTCATGCAAAATCTGGGATAATGTTCTGTAACTTCACAACCATGACATTCAAGGCACACACGACTAACAAAATTCAACCAAAGACGTAATCTTTCGAACCAGCACAGCACTTTCTACTACTTCCAACATCAAACAGATCAAATGTTTCATTCCAACGCAAAATTATAGTAGAAGAGTGGAACTTTTAGCTGCGGAGAAAGATAAAAGAAACGGTTACCTTGAGAATCCTGACACCAGATTTATGGAGACCCATGAGCTTGCTGCGACCTTGATGAAGAATCCGCTGCTGGTTCCTCCTCTTTACTTACATAACTCTGCTTTCTTCTTTTCCTCCCAATCAGAAACCAGTCGCTCCTTCTTATAACCCTCAGTCTTTTCTTGCTTTTCTAAACCTCCGCCATCCAATTCTATGCTCTCTCTATCTCTCGGCCCTTTCTCTCTAGCCCCTTCTCACAGCCGACCCTCTTAACTCCCCAGACTCCCTTGCATTTTTTCTGTTTTTTCAACCTTCAGCTTGCTCCCAAAACCTCTATCTCTCTCCTTCAAGCTTTCTCACTCTGTCCGTCCCCTCTCAAAACCTCCCTTGCGGCTGCCTTTCTTTTTAGCTTTTATACCAGAATCCCCAACCCTAAACAACTTTCCTCAAATTGCAGCTGAAGGGCTGCCTGGTCCTCTGTTTGCAAGCTGCGGCAATACGCAGCTTGCATGAAGCATTTCTTTTTTTTTTTTAATTAATTAAAACAATATTGATAATAATAAAAATAAATAACAAAATAATTTAATTAACCTTGGATAAAACAAATAAACTAGAAACAACAAAGTGTAACTTTCCATTTTCCTTTTGTTTCATTTTCCTCATTTTTCACTTTTCCTCTTTTTCCTAAATGAACCAAACAAAAATAAAAGATAAATTAAGTAGAAATGACTAAAATAGATAAATAAAGCCAAATAAAACAAAATTTCTATTTTTCCTTTTTCCCCTTCTTTTTTTTCATGATTTTTTTTAAATCTTTTTCATGATTTTTCCCCTTTTTTCTCTTTTATGCTAAAATGTCCAAAAATGAGATTAGTAAAACCAAACTAAAATAAATATAAATAAAGCTAATAATAATAAAAAAAAAAAAGTCAAAATTTGGTGTCTACAGTTTGCCCCTCTTTGTCTGAGTTTTGGAAAAACTTGAGACAAAGAAGTAGACACCAAATACTTACCTGCGTTATTCAGCTGCGAATTACTCAAACGATGGGGACTAACCCCTGACGGGAAATTTTAAAATCGGGACTGACCCGAGACGGGAAATTTAAAATCGGGACTGACCCGAGACAGAAATTTAAACGGGACTGACCCGAACAGAATTTAGACGGGACTGACCCGAACAGAATTTAAAACGGGACTGACCCGAACAGAATTTAAACGGGACTGTGCTTACTAGTGGGACTGACCCACGGCTAGTGGCTATGAAAATGAAATGCTTGCTGGCGGGACAAACCCGGCTCCAGTAGCAATGAAAATGAAATGTCTTGACCATTGGACAGTGGGATCAAACCCGAGCCTGCCGTGATGAACTTGATTTGATTTTTTGATTTTTGATTTTTTTTGATTTTTCCTGACTGAGAGAGACTTTTCGAAATAATTTGCCCCAGTGTAATGAATTTGGTCAGTGGGATTAAACCCGAGCCTGCCCAATGAAATGTTGGCGGCACGAAATCCAGGCTCAACGGGATGTTGTGAAGTTGGTGGCACGAAGTCCAGGCCCAACGTGATCTAAGCGGTCAGCGGGATAGAACCCGGTCCTGCCGAGGATAGAATAAAACACACGCGTTAGTGAGATAGACTCGATGCTAACGGTGGCAGGATGAAACACACACGTTAGTGAGATGGACTCGATGCTAACGGCGGTAGAATGAAAACACGCACGTTAGTGAGATAGACTCGATGCTAACGGCGGTAGGATGAAAACACGCACGTTAGTGAGATAGACTCGATGCTAACGGCGGTAGGATGAAACGCACACGTTAGTGAGATAGATTCGATGCTAACGGTGGTGGAATGAAAACATGCACGTTAGTGAGTTAAACTCGATGCTAACAGCGGTAGAATGAAAACACGTACGTTAGTGAGATAGACTCGATGCTAACGGTGGTGGAATGAAAACAGGCACGTTAGTGAGATAGACTCGATGCTAACGGTGGTGGAATGAAAACACGCACATTAGTGAGATAGACTCGATGCTAACGGCGGTAGGATGAAAACACGTACGTTAGTGAGATAGACTCGATGCTAACGGCGGTGGAATGAAAACACGCACGTTAGTGAGATAGACTCGATGCTAACGGCGGTCGGATGAAAACACGCACGTTAGTGAGATAGACTCGATGCTAACGGCAGTAGGATGAAAAACGCACGTTAGTGAGATAGACTCGATGCTAACGGCGGTTGAAGTAAAAACGCACACGTTAGTGAGATAGACTCAATGCTAACGGCGGTTGAATGAAAACGCACACGTTAGTGAGATAAACTCAATGCTAACGGTGGTAGAATCAAATGTGGTTGTCAAGAGTGGGGAATGGAAGGGTGCGCGGCGGGCGCTGAAATTTCATTAACAAGAAATTGAAATTTGTCGAGGAATAAGAAATTAAATTCAAGTTTGATTTTTGAGAATTTTTCAAAAATAATTGGCCCCAATTTCCATTAATCAATTGATTTGCATTATGGCAGGGTTGATCCTCCTTAAAACTTTGATTCGCTTCTTTTTGGTCCGATCCCCTCAGTCATATAAAAATTCTTGGGCGACATTTCTCATTCAAAAAGTTGCTCCAGTTTCGTCCTTTGAAACGCGTATGAATCTGCAAAAGAAAGAACAAATAATGCCCACCATTCGATCTATTCCTCTTTCAAGAAATGTGTAAACATGAGTACTTTGATGTTTTCCCCTTGATACTTTGAAAACTCAACTTTGCTCTGTGATCTGATCAAATTCCATTGATTTCCAATGCTAATAAGGCCCTTGGTATCCAGGGATTTTCGATAAATCAGGGGGATTGCCATTGGATAAATCCAAAAGATAGATGAGACCATGTAACAAATGAAAGAGTTGTCTATTTATTGACAAAAATTTCTGTAACATGAAAACAATCATTTATTGAAAGAAAATTAATTTTGAAGAAATGAATCTATAAATTCGACAATGTACACTTGAAAAACCAAAAGTATTCCGACTTCAAACAAATGCCACGCTTGACCCTTTAGATATCATCTGCCCTGAGTTCAATGTCGGCAACAAAAAAACATAATGCGAGAAGGAATCCAAATGAACCGAATCATCAGCTTTCTAATTCCAACCTCACTTTTCTCATGAAACTCTACCTTAGCGCCCTTCTAGTTTTCACTAAGACCATTCCACTTCTTTTTTCTTTTTTTTTTCTTTTTGCTTTTTTCTCTCTTTTTTTTCTTCTTCTCTTTTCTTTTCTTTTTTTTAACAAAAGGTCCCCTTTTCGGATTTTTGCCTGATGAACAAATCTCGCCAATAGCCTTTATCAACTCAAAAAGATGTGTTCTAGGAGATAATGGCATCAGTGCGACAACCCCTTCCCTTACAACGTGAGTGAAGGCGTATTGACATCATTTGCCATGTGACTTAGAAAAATTTCCTTAAAAGAGGTAATACCAAGAACGGAAGCCAGGACTTTTTGGCTTTTGTAATGGGGTCTGGTGGGGGCGTCTGCAGGGGTGTTTAGAAAAGTTAAGGTTTGAAGGCAGATTTCAAGAGTGGTTTAAGTAATCTGAGATCGCATTGTTGTGCCAACCATATTTTAGGGCTAAATCAGAATTTGCCCCAGTTTATGCTCAATTGAGGCCTTCTTTCATTTTCTTTCTCTTTTGATTTTTCGGCCTTCTGCCATTTTTTGAACTTTTCAAAAATTTCCCAGTTTATTTGTGAACTGAGGTTCTCTTTTCTTCTTTTGTCTTTTGATTTTGTGGCTTTTCACTTTTCCACTTTTTGAAATTTTCCTTTTCAACTCAAACTTGCCCCAGTGTGGGGTTTGCGATTCTCAGGGGTTGCCAAATGAAGTATTTTATTCTGAAGGCTCAAAAGGGATAACTAGGGATATAATGTCTTAATGGGAAAAGAAGAGGGCCTGACTTTCATTCCATTCTTCGCATTAATTCTAAAAGAAAACTTTCGTTTATCAGATGAAAATTTCTTACACATCTCCGAATTGATTGGCTGAGGGAACAAGTGCTCCACCCGGCGATACCTTTTTGATGATAAGAGCACCTTACCAATTTGCGGCAAACTCTCCTTTTGGCTTCATTCTGTACTGATAAAAATCACCTTAATGCTTTGCCTTCTTGTCTGAATGGTCATGATTTGACCCTTTAATGGTAATCACAGACCAATCCTCTTGATCATATTGACCACGATAGACTGTGTTTAACTGCTTCTTATTCCTAATCTTGATCACGATTTGGCTTGAACTTCTTTTATTCCATTCGGGCTTCTTTGAAACATTTTCGGATGCCTCTTCCCCACTCCTCTCATTTTTGAAATTCAAATTCACATTTATGAGATCGCTGCCATCAAATTTCTGAACAGTGATATCCAAAGGGTCAGGCGGTTTTATTCTGGGCCATCTGAAAAGAATGTGTAAGTCACAATATATATAAGACTGTACATTTTATTGACTTTCCAGACAAAAACCAAACTTAATATCATGAAACGTGTCTTTAGCAGTCACTTGATTGAAAACTATTTACAAAAAACATATTTAAACAAAAGACACATGTATGAACGATTTTCATTGGTTTCAAACCAAAACAACTCCCCAAATTTATCAAAACTTCCCTTCAAGAGGAACCTCACTAATTCAGCCATTTCCAGGATTTTCAAATTTCCTTGCTGGAGGTAAATGCCTCAAAAGTGTCCTTGTGTTCAGAAAAAGGATTCGTACTTATGTTCGGTCCTTGTTCTTCCCTTTTCCTTAATCACTATATTTCCTGCTTCGATCATGTCCTGGATCTTATGTTTTAGTACCCAACAGTTACTGGTCGAATGACCGGGCGCTCCAGAATGGTAGGCACACGCGGCTTGAGGGTCGTACCCAGAAGAGAGACCTCGACGAGAGTAGTTTGGAGGAGGTATGTCATCTATTTTACCGGCAGCCTTGAGCTGTTCATACAGTTGGTCAATGGGTCGGCCTAAGTTGGCAAAAGTTCGAGATCGACCAGGTTTTTGTATTTTATTGGTTTGAGGAAGGTTGTAAGTCTGTTGGTTTGGTGGAGCAGGTCTGGGATTATAAGGTAGACGAGGTTGAATTTGAGGATTGTTTTGAGTCATTGGGAAGGATATTGTAGGTGGGCTTGCATGGTTTGGCTGAGGTCGAGGGTGATTAGTGGTAGTATGGTAAACAGGGCGTGAGTTTGGGTAGCGAAATGAATACGTCTGGTAACGTTGGGATCTGGGTCTTGAAAATGGTCCTTGGCCCCACACAAAAGTAGTTTCCTCCTCTTTCTTCTGGAGTTGAGGCTCCCTTCTGTTATTACTTTGACCTTGCAAGGCGTCCAACTGTGATTTTAAAGCTGATACATTGACAATTTTCCCTGCTTTGACGTATTCGTCATATTCCTCCAACTTATTGATAATTGCTGCAAATGAACACCCGGTCATGCGAAAAATCTCCTCAAAGTAGGGCGGATCATGAGCTTTGATGAACGTACGAACAATCTCATCTTCAATCATAGGGGGTTCCACCTTGGCGGCCAATTTCCTCCATCTTTTCGCATATGTCTTGTGGTCCTCGGATGGTTTCCTCTTGGTTCCTTCCAATGTGGTCCTCGTTGGAGCCAGCTCGCAATTGTATTCGTATTGCCTTACAAAAGCAGTTGATAAGTCCAGCCACGTCCTCATATCCTCGGGTTTCAAATTGGAATACCAGTCCAATGCATCACCTTCTAAGCTTTCGGGAAACAAACGAACTGGTAGATTCTCGTCATCTATTGGTTTGCCCAACTTGTTAGCAAACATTCGGAGGTGCGTCTTGGGGTTGCTCGTTCCATCATACTTGCTAAATTTGGGTATTTTGAAACCCATGGGCAATTGCATATCCGGAAACAGGCATAGCTCGTTGTAGTCCGCCCTCCTTGTTTATTCAAGCCTTGGCTTTTCCTTATGAAATCCTCAAACCGATCCAATCGCTTTAGCAAATTCTTATCCACTGGTGCGGATGACTCCCCGGTTTCAACTTTCCCTTGAGCAGCGGTATCTAGGGTGAACGGCTCAGCGGTGGAGTAATAATAAGGTCCCTGTGGCTCGAATGGCATGCTTATAGTAATTGGCGGATAATTTTCGGGAATTTGGACATGAGGAGGGTTAGTTTGGATGTGAGGTGCATAAGCAGGTTGTGGGCCATGAGTGGGATAAGTAAAGGCTTCCTCAGGGGGGTTTATGAATTGTGAAGGAACAGAGGTTTGAGTATAAGGCAAAAATATGGGTTGAGGTTTAGATTGGCCAGGAGGTAAGGGCTCATGTTGTTTACTGCTAGCACCACTAGCTACCAATTGATCAATTACGCGCCGTTGGGCCATCATTTCAACGCTCAGCTTATTAAATTGGTTTAGAACTTCGCTCAGTTGAGCTCCCAGATTTGCCGAGTCAGTCGGTGATGTGGTTGCGGGCCTATCAAATGATTCTGGACGGGTACTCATGTTTACACTATCTCTTGAAGCTCGACTACGTGATCGGGTGATAATGGGGCTTTTCCGGGTAGCTATATACTACCTGAGAATTTAAGACAACCCTTATTAGATACCCTTCTTGATTGACTGCTGTCAAAAAGAAAAGAAGAAGGAAAAGGAAAAGACAGGAGTTAGTAACAATTAAAGTAATTCGGATGCATGTCCTATGGGGGAACCCTTTTTGTGCCAAGGGTAGGCCTAGCATGAAGATGCAATCCTCTGAGGTAGGCACTATACCATACCTGATGAATCTGATCAACTCATTGAGTAAAAATAACTTTGAAAAATTTGGTCAATTGGAGTGACGAGAGACACTTTGTCAAAATGAGGCCAACGTCCGAATGGATTGGTCATTTTTTATCGATACAAGAATTTGCAAAAACGCACGGGTTTGACCTTGACGAACTTCCTATCGAAGAGATTGGAATTCGTTGCATGGGTAAAAACCCCAACTGATCAAATGGCTGAATGCAATGGATGGTTTTCTCAAAATCGACTAGGTTTTCCAATTTGAATTTTTTCATTGAAACCCTAATTGGTCAAATGGATGGAATGAAAGTGACAATTTATTTAAAATCGACCGAATTACCCTAAAAAGGGAAACAGGTCAAATGAATTGAATGAAATTTAATTTATCCAAAATTAATCAGATCACTCTAAAAAGGGTAAATTGATCAAATAGATTGAACGAAACTTGATTTATTCAAAATCGGCTCGGTTGCCCTAAAAATGGGTAAATTGGCCAAATGAATGAAATTGAATTAGTGATTTATTCAAAAATCGGCCGAATGACCCTAAAAAGGGTAAATTGGTCAAATGAATTGACAATTTATTCAAAATCGACCGGATGACCCTAAAAAGGGTAAATTGGTCAAATGACCCTAAAAAAGGGTAAATTGGTCAAATGACCCTAAAAAGGGAAAATTGGTCAAATGAATTGACGATTTATTCAAAATCGACCAGGTGACCCTAAAAAGGGTAAATCCTGGCGGTCAAATGACCCTAAAAAAGAGAAAATTGGTCAAATGAATTGACGATTTATTCAAAATCGACCAGGTGACCCTAAAAAGGGTAAATTGGTCAAATGATGGTTTATTCAAAATTGATTATGAATTGACAAAATGGATCGATTGAATCGGCCGGCCATTGGTGGTTTCAGAAAATTAGTCTATGAGCCTTCTAAAATCACGATTTGGCCTCAATTTATTTATCGTCTCAATAGGAGGAATCATTTGTGAATTTCTTCAAATTAATGTCCTTCACGCAAGGGATTTTTACCAATTTTTGATAAAATGGCCAAAAAGTGATTATTAGATGCTCATATTCCAAAGATCACTCTATGAAAATGATCGGATCCTACCTTACCTTGTGCACTACTCCTTTGGATGGTACAAAATGTAAACGTGCAAGTCTCACTGGATTAATTATCCGAGACACAAGGTGGCTTATTCCTAACGCGGGATCCCCTAAATGGCATTCCCTTTTTAGGGTGGATGCATGATGCCATTTTTATCAAAGCAAGAAAAAATGCAATTCGAAATGAAACGTGACCTAAGGAACCCTTTATCTGCCAGGGTAAGCCTAAAATGACATGGCATTATTAATTTATGAACAAAAAATATCACAATTTTCAAACATGCAATAACCTATCTACAGGGGTAGGTCCTAAAAGAGGATCGTGCCAGACCTCTTATTTCCTAACGTTTGTGAATGCAAAAGACAAAAGACAAGGAAACGTGAGTTCAACACATAACACATAACACATTTGGACAATTAGATAATATAAAGAGCAACAGAGACAGATAAGGAAAAAAGGATGGGACCCCTCCCTCGTGAATAGTGTTTCCTAATTTAGGGTAAGGTCGACTCTACCCTAGGCAATTCTAATATGGATGCATGAGGTTGGGGTTCGCTAATGCATCTAGACTCGATAAGCTCAATAGGTCCCCGAGCCTTCAGACTTAGAAACCAAGGGTCATCAATCCCAAGGTTCTTTGTCGGTGGCTCGAGTGATTCCCCAAACACCGCTACGCACACATCGTGTCGCGGCTACGTGTTTGAGTGAATCTATCAAAATCCTCAACCTTCGACTAAAAGCTAAAGGCTATCAACCCATAGCTTAAAGCGGAAGATTGAGTGACCCATTGGATCATGCTACACACACATCGTGTCGTGATCACATGTCCAAGTGGATCACCTAAAATCCTAATAGGGTGGAGTGGCGTGACAAGCCACTAAAAGAAAAATAAATGAGGGGTAAAAATAAAGCGTATGCACGTATGCTAGTGCTCGTTTGGAGGGGAGGATCAAGAACCAACGTGAGGCTCTAAGGTGATGTCCCCCACCCAAATGCAATGCAAGCGCGAGATAAGCAAGTAAACATACATCCAATCAACCAAACATACATTCGCGAGCGAGGGAGTAGTTGGATACGCGTGAAATGCAAAAATCCTAAAAAAGGGAAAAATGCAACCCTAAAACACCCAAATGTGATATATGAAAAGGTTAAAAGAAGAAAAAGGTTGATTAAATCAAATTTGCTCGGACTCTCGAATGTCCCCAGTGGAGTCGCCAACTGTCGCGCCCCATTTTTTGATAAATAAATAAATGGTTTAAAAAAATGTATTTTGATTAATTTGTGATTGGAAAATGAATTGTGATTTAAAAGAAAATGGTCTAAATGGGGGTTTGAGATGCGACGATTTGACCCAAAATATAGTTTAAAAAGGGTTTTTGAAATAAAAAAGGAGTCGCCACTTGGTAATGAGTTAAGGTGTACCAAGTCACCTAAAAATGATTTTTTAAAGAAAAAATGGAAAAAGTAGTAGAAACCCCTTTTAAACGACTCCTAATCCACGTAAACCAAAAAAAGGTTCGGGAGTCACATTTGACGAAGGGGAAGGCAAGGATAAAAATCCAAGGCACCCCTTCGACCTAGCCAAGGCTAGTTGCGTGATTTAATCAAATTTTTCTTATTTTAACCAAAGAATTTATTACATTTGGATGCACTACATGAATGCAAAAGAAAGAAAAAATGCAAACCTAAATTCTAAAATGTCTCTTGTAAGGTTTTTGGTCCCAACCACATGAATTGTGGCGGCCAATAAAGGAAAACCTTATAGAGGTCGATTAATGCAAATGATGGCTAAAGTGCAAGTGTGCAAGTGTATAAAAAGGTGCACGTGTGAAATTGTATGAAAAATCCAAGTGTTTGTGTGCAAGTGTATGAAATATAGTGATAAGTGCATATAGGTGTAATTAAGTGCAATTTTGTGAAGTAGAAATCAAAATGAACAATAAGGAAAGGAAAAGTGATGAGGAAATGTGAATTGAAAAAAAATGAGTAAGTGATAAATGAGAATGAATGAACCTAAAGGAATGCATCAGGTCGGGTATGGGAATGACTCCTAACTTTTTCGACTTCGATTTTCCCTTTGATTAGAAAGCAAAACTAGCGTGCTAAGGCTATCGAGTAGCCACACTCGCTCGTTTCCCTTATCAGAAGGGACTCTTCAGGCAAATGTACCCTAACTAGCATGAGATGCAAGACCTAAAGTGAGAGGGAAAGGGGATTAGAGGGACATGCCAAATGATAGAAAAACTAAAAGAATGCATGACATGTAATGAACATGCAAACATGTACTAACGAGGGGAAATCCCTAAGGGTCTAGCGTTGGACTAGCCCATTCTATGAATTCCGACTAGCGTTGGACTAGTGGAAACGTTCATTCATCCATCACATTCATTCAAGCTATGGAAAGCGAGTAGACATGCCAAACACTTATAAACACATAGCACATAACATTTAGCATGCTCGACTAGATGCAAGGCCCTAACAAAGCAAATTAACACGTAGTAACTAAGCATGCAAAACACATAAGACAATTAAAGCCCTAACTATTACATTTGCTAGTTAGGCACATGACTTCGATAGGTCTTCATTGAATGCCCCTCCAAGCCCTATCTATTACAAGTCAAGAGGTGTACACATACCCCATAAAGAATAACTTAAATAAAAGCAAAAAGTAAATGACATAAATAAAAGGAATTAAGGAAAGGCTAGGAAAGCAAAGTAGACATGCAATTTTCACGTAGCACATTGGTTCACATAGGAAAGACAAAAAAGATAAAAGAAGTTATACCTCCTTGAATTGATGCCCTAATGAAGTGAACTTACTAATTTACCCTCCAAAATAATTAAAAGGTCAAGGTACCACTGAAATTATCAATAATCATATGAAATGGAAATAAACATGAAATAAACATGAAATTTCAAATAGAACATTCAAATGAAAGTGAACGACCCCTATTCATCAAATTGAAATAAACAAGAACCCAATTAAAAGAAGTAAAAGAAACTGGAGGCATCATTATTTCAAATATTATGGGTCCCAAAAAGCAACTAGATAAAAATCAAAGGCTCATGGTGAGATCTACAAATCAAATACTAAAATTCATAAACATAAGTGATAACTAATTTACTACGATGAAACAATGAAAATTTCCCAAATTTTATTAAACTCCAAGTCGAAATCATGGATCTATCGAAATTTATTAAACTTCAAAAAATGCATATAAAATTCACCAATGATCAACTCAAATATCATATAAAATCAAATAAAAAAAACAAATTGATCTTTAAAGGGACCAAAATGATTAACTTGTCCAATTCTTCGGGCCATGATAGAGTTAAGCAATAATCAAGAGGTCATAATGGAATTATTGGAAATATTCCATGCATGCAATGAAAGGCTAAAGCCTTCTTTACTTCTGCGATTCACGCATGAAGCTTTCATCAGATTTTGATTCAACTACATGGCTTTGGTTGGATGTTTTCCAACCCAACATCCCAATCCTAAACCAAGCAACAGGCTACATAATGATCACAATTCAGATGGCCAGAAAACATGGAAATATATCATGCCAAACTTCTAAAATTCATGCAGAAATGGTTTCGGCAGCTTGCTGGT